GGCCGGGGTCTTTGACGGCTGTGTACATTGTCTGGAGGTGGCCGTTGAAGAGGAAGGGGTTTAGACGGCATGGTGGGATTGACGACTCGGCGATTTCTTTCAGGTTTGTTTTTGAGCCAGTCTTGGTCTGGAGGGGTGTTGGCGAGGCATGGGAGGTGTAGGTCGTTTTGCTGTGGCCTAGGAGCCAAGACATGATGGGTTTGGTTGGAGTGATACCCAATGCGAAATTGAATGCTGTCGTGTTTCTGTATGAGGGGTACCGTGACTCTGTATAAGACCTCGAGATTCAATCCGATAGGCAACACGCCTCAGCACTACTGTAGGTTTTCGGTCCTGTTCCTAGCTCTTTCGCCAATCTAGCATTCAGTGCGATTACTTGCTGATTTGGGTTGTTGACCGGCCGGATCAACTTCAAGAAGACGCCCTGCTCTAATTGATCTTGACAAAGAGATGGTGAAAGTCTTATCTAGATCACATACGTACGTAAGGTTGAAAGAATCGGGCCTCGGTCTGGCTACGACTAGGCTGCATGTGTTGGTGCAGCAAGCGCGCGTCTGTGGGCCAATGGCGCTCAATGGCGCTGGCGCGTTCGCGATTGCCCAAGTTCGCGACTGCCCATTACACGTCCTCACGTCGACACCCCGCTTTCGCCCACGATGCACCGCCTGTACCTCGACTCTCGGTGACCATTCCTCTCCTGAGTATCCTCCGCCATGGACCCGCGATACGGCTGGCAGCCCCAGGGCTATCCGAACGGCCAGTACAATCCGTATGCGCCGCCTCCGCAACAACCGCAGCAACAGCAGCAACAGCAGCCAAATGTCTACCAACAGCATGGCTACCCTCAGTATCCTCCCATGCAGATGCAAGCGCCACAAGGATATCCTCAGTCACAGCCACAGCAGTATCAACTGCCGCCACAGCCCAGCATGCCCCGACCCATGAGCCAGCAGTATGCGCCAATGCCTCCCCAGATGCAGCCACCACAGCAACCCCAATACCAACGGCAGCCCCAAGTCGTCATCCCCCCGAGGACACAGCAATATGCCCCCATGCCGCAGATGCAGCCCCCGCGAATCCGACATGTCCAGGTGCCGGTCCAGCGAACAGGCAGCACGGGCATGGCGCAAACAGACGGCTCGGGTGACCAACAGCGGCGGTATAGCGCACAGCAGGCACCCAACACGCCCAGTTCCAAGCCAGTGCAGCGGTCGCCGTCGTTTCAAGAGAATGGGCCAAGGCCACAGCAGCGACCCGTCGTCACTCCTTCTCACAGTCAAGCCCAGTCTCGGGCACCTCTACAACTGCAGACGACGCCTCAGCAACAGCGTGTACCTTCGCAGTCGACGCCTCAGCAGCAGTACATGTCCTCTCAGACCACGCCGCAACAGCAGCGACCCCTGCAATCGACACCCCAACAACAGCGCCCTCCACAGTCGACACCCCAGCTACAGCGACCCCCTCAATCACAGTCAACACCTCAGCAGCAACGTATACCCTCACAACCTACGCTTCAAGAGCAACGTCCTACCTCGCAATCTACTCCTCAACAACCCCGACCCCCACAGTCTACTCCTCAGCAACAGCGACCCCTTCAATCGACGCCCCAACAGCAGCGCGTACCCCCACAGTCTCGGACGCCGTCGAGCCAGTATGGCAGTCCGTTCCCACAACCGCCCTCGTCCAAACCAAGAATGCATCCCCAAGTCGTCATACCGAAAGCATCGTCTTTGCACCAGCTTACGCCGACGAAGCGCGCCCATCCACCCCAGAAGGCCCTTCCTGCCGAGCTCTCCGAACTACTGCTCACGGCTGCGGACGAATACATTGCGGTCGCGCGAGGCATGGGATCGCTGCTCATACGGGAGAGAAGGGAGGCCGACGTCAGGCAATACTACAAGTTAATGTCTACTGCCATGGGGTGCATGGATACCGTGCTGAAGGACTTCAACATGCCGCCTAGAGACGAAGCCAAGCTGCGGTTGAGGTATGCCAGCTTGATGATTGAAGAGACAGACATCGAGGCCGCGGACATATCCAGTCGGATCGAAGAGATTCTGTCCAAGCAGATATCGCTCTGTGGACGCCATCGCCTGCAAGACCTCAAGTTTGCTGCCCTCCATCTTCAGGCGCGATATCAGTTCAAGACCAACCACCGCGCCGGCCTCAAGTCACTCGACCAGCCTATAAAGGAGGCGGAAACCTTTCAACACATTGCCTGGGTATATGCGCTGCGGTTTCTCAAAGTGACGCTCGCACTGCAGATACCGGGTCGTGTTGAGGTGGCATTGGCTCTCCAGCAACTCCATGCTATACAAGATCACGCGGACCGGCGGGGTGATCGAGCCATCTATGTCGCTTGTCATGTACTCGAAGCGATGGTCCATCTACGCTCGGGTGCAAGCGATCGACTCGAACAAGCCCAACGCGCCATCGCAGCAGCCAGAAGCCTGCAGCTTCAAGTGTCAGCCAAGCAGCTAGGATCGTTTGGCACTCTCATCGACATTATTGACATTGCTAGCGGTATCCAAAAAGGCAGCCCCAACCCACAGAAGTCTACCGCGCTTCTGGAATCGATACTAGGCGACAAGAACGAACAGAACAGCTCCCAAGGCGGCGTCTTCACTGTTCTCATTGAGCGAAGTTTTGGAGGTCACCTGACGTTTGACACTGCTGGCATCTTCAGAAAGAATGCGGAGCAAAAGGACGAATTGGTATTTGCATGGCTTCCGAAGGAGGATCTTCAAGCGTTGTGCTTCCACATCTGTGCTCTGGACCAACATGTTCATGAGAAAGGTTTGAACTTCATGAAGGAAGCACATCAGCGTTTCCGAGAGACGGCGAAGCGACGCGTTTACAATGGCGTACCTATATCCATCGCCTTTGCACGCATTGAGTGGAACATGGTACTGGATTGGTATTCCATGTTCGCCATCGGCCTCATAGCGCGGACTAGGAACGATTGCGCAACCGCCGACGATGCGCTAGGTTTCCTCAAGAAGAAAATCTCGACGACCCCATACAACAATCAGGAAGCATTTGCTCGTACGCTCGCCTACTTCTCCGCCATCACCGACCAGATCAACGGATCCCACAACTCGTCACTCGCAGCATTGTCCTCGGACGTCCTCGCGATACCAGAGAAGGCCCACGCAACGCCCGCCAAAACAGACATCGCAATCATGGCAGCCCTGAATCGCCTCCTCATCCTCCGCGATGTCTCGCACCCACAACACTTCCAAGCAGCCCTCCTTCTAGCCCAGATAAAACCCCTCTGCGACGACCACCCAAACCAATACATACGCATCGCCTTCCGCCTCGTCCAAGCCTACCACAGCGAAGACGCGCCCATCCTGCAACAGAAGAAAACCGTTCAAGCCGCCGTGGGCATGGCCCAGGATGTCTCGAAGCGAACCCAGAACTTCGAGTTCGTCGCTATGATGATGTGTTACTTTGTTGCGCGCTTCTTCGCCGAGACCGTCGGCGAGAAAAGTATCCAGGCGATTCGCGCAGCGAGGTCGCAGGCCGTCAAGGTGCATAGGCCGCTGTGGGTTGCTGTCGTTGCGGGTCTTTGTATGAATACTTATAGGCGGAACGGACTTGTGGCTGAGGCGGATGCGGCGGCGAGAGAGTTTGAGAATGTGAGGGGGCAGTTGCCGGTTGCGCTGAGGGGGGTGGCTGGTGGGGATGGGGATGTGGATGCGGATGGTGATGTTGATGCTGAGGGGGAGGAGGATGTTGATGCTGATGCTGATATCGATGCTGTGGGTTAGGTGGTGGGATGTGTTGTGCGGGTTTCCTTCTTCGTTTTACTTCTGGCGAGGCATTTTCACAACGCATTTGTTGGCGCTATATGGCGGGGCTTTAGCATGTACTGTAGAGGGTTCGAGATACCATGGCAGTTCAACGGCGTTTCAATGCATTTGCGTCACCTGAGAGATACGGAGAAAAGTGTGTGAGATGTGTGAGAGTGAGAAAAGATTTTCTACTTTATAATCTGGTTCAACGTTTACATGAAGGTGTGAAGAGAGCGTTTTTTTTTTTTTCACTTGCAGAGAATGTCGTCTCCAGTATTACTTGTATTCCTTATGCGGTTGAATAAGATGAAAGAAAAAGTCTGGATTTATGATACCGTCCACCGAGCGAGGAGTTCTTTCACGATGTCCTCGCCATTCTCCTCGGGCCTCGACATGAGATCCCGATAGTCGTTGGGCTTGTCCGCAACATCATATTGGAATGGAGGCCCAGGGTCTATCGGGGGTTGACGTTGTCTGCCGATTCTCCGCTTTATTGGCTTAGGAGCTGCACTAGGGTGTTGAACCTCGTCAGGTGCGTCCGCGAATGTTACTGTCGGATGAGTTGATTGCTCAGCCGGCGGGGAAGCGGGCGTTGGATCGTCCGATGCGTGCAAAAGATCATCAACCTGTGAAGGTGGAGTCTTTGAAAATGAGACTCTAGGTGCAGGCCTAAGACCATTCACGTCGGGGGTGGACGCACATGGAGAGTCTTGGGGTGAAGAGTCTTTTTCGCATGGCGCCTCGCGATGCGAATAGAGGCAACTGGAAGCTGCATAGTGCGATCCTCTACTTTGAACCGAGGGAGTCTGAGCCCTGAGAATCGTTTTTCTGGTAATCCACTTAAGCGTTTCAACATTCAGTGTACCAAATACAGTTGATACACTGGTGTTGCGTTGCGAACGGACAAATGCAATCACCCAGCCGTCCACTGGAAGTGTATCTTTGATCATGGCCCGCTGCTGTCGTGTGAGCTCTGACAACGCGATATGTGGATCGTTGCCTTCGTCGGTGTATGTTTTGACCAGTTTCTCGAGTGAGGCGTGGGGTAGCTCCATTCCATCTATCAAGAGAGAGTCGCCGTGACCTGTTGCAAGCCCACGGAGATAAGTGGAAGTCCATCCCGAATAGAGGCAGGTTACATCATCATTGACTGCGGCGGTTTCATCGTCATTCGCTGTAGCCAGTGTCTCTTGCGACTGTTCCTCATGGCACTGGGCTACTGCCGTCGCCTCGAATGATGGGGTGGATGTCGTAGGTTCCTGGGGAATGGTTTGATATGAGACATGCGGGTCCTGCGGGTAACTTGGACTATGAGCCATTACTCGCTGTGGCAATGATGTACCCCCTGGTCCTGAACGTGAACTGACCGGACCTGGCGCATCTACATCAAGAGATGAGTGTGGCTTGGTAAACTTTTTATGTCTATAAAGTACATGTGAGTTCCATCTCTCACTTCTTGTCTTGACCGTGCTCGCCCGTTGCAGCTGCACAATCGTAGACCCGAGTTCCAGTCTCTCCGTCTCATGGATCGGTCGTTGTCGTCCGTCCCTCTGCGCAAGAGCAAGACTAGCCACAGCAATCATCAGAACAAGGTTGCTCTTCGCATCTCGAAGATCGTTGCGCACTTCATCGAATTGTGGCTGCAGAAACGGCCATTTTGCCTTTTCGAACGGAGAGAGCTCAATCTTTGAATGCAGGGCGGGCCGTTTTCCCACCTGCTCGAACGCGCGACGCAGAAGAGTCTCTGTTTCTGTGAAGGAAGACCTGCAGTGGCGAAGAGCGCGCGAGATGTCGATGAGAGCGACGGAGTTGAAGACAGATTTCAGCGTGCCTTGCGCATCAGGCTGCGGTATGATGAGTTCTCGCACCTGGTTGAGGATTGCGCAAGTGCTGCTGATGTCGTCCGCGATACTTGTAACTCTTTGGCTCGCTGTCGCAACCTTTTCGGCGAGGGCGTACAGCTTCACGGAGACTCGTACGCCGGCTGCAGTGATGCCTACCACGGATCCCGTGATGCTGAGAGGATCCGCCATCCTGTGCTTTCGAAGCAGCAAACGGTTTCAGTAAGTCAAACAAAGGATCGGACATTGCAGGAAGGGGGTAGAAGCCAGGATTATGAGTTCATGGCTGACAAGATTAGGAAGGCTGAGATGTGCGTCTCGGGGGCGCAGCCGGCTTACTCGATATTGCGTGCAGCTCACCCTGTTCAACCACCACACGATGCAGGCGCCTCGCTGGCTACATGAGCATGGCAAGCGGATGTTAGCAGAATGTTAACGCGATGTAGACTCTCAGATTCCTGGCTTTGGTTGGATCCTCTAGGGGCGGGCGTTCGATATGTCCCCCAAATAGGGTGGCCTCATTATGCCGGCAGATGGCCGCATGGTGGTACCTAGGTAGTAGCACAGCTCAGCTCTGCCTCATTGAGAAGAGATCTCAAATTCGCAAGGCTCATGGTGCGGTCACCGCTCGTTCTTGTTGTTGATGTCTAGTGCCCAGGGTGTTGGATGTCTCCAAGAGCCGGTGTAGACCCTGCCAATCTGCCCCGCCCCACTTCAGCTTCGCGCGACGCCAACCCATGTCCTTCAGAAGGATGCACCTCCACCCCTCAACGGAATAGCCACGCCACTGCTGACATGATCATGTTATCTTTCGTTCCTTCGCTGCTGTCAGCGCACGATCTGCGAATCTTCATCGCGACCACCTCTAACGTCGACTTGATCAGCTTCCTTCCACTGCTTTTACAGCATGCACCTTCTACGGCGTGACACCGACGGCGAGTTCAGCCTTGCTGACTATGACGACAGACAGCTGCCACCCTACGCGATACTGTCACATACCTGGGGCTCCGATAACGATGAAGTGTCCTTCAAAGACATCGTGAAAGGCAGAGGCAAAGAGAAGCAGGGCTATGCCAAACTACACTTCTGTGCCAACCAAGCTGCCAATGATGGCCTGGAATATTTCTGGGTGACCTGACGATGTTCCTCTTCCTTTGCGCGTCGGCTAATACCTGTTAGGTGGACACGTGCTGCATCGATAAGAAAGATAGCGTGGAACTCTCGAAAGCGATCAACTCCATGTTCTCGTGGTATCAACATTCAACCCGATGTTACGTCTATCTTTCCGATGTGACAGCCCCGCCTCGAACGCCTTGGAAGACTGCGTTCCAGAAGAGCAAATGGTTCACCAGAGGCTGGACTCTACAGGAACTACTCGCTCCATCTTCCGTTGAGTTCTTCACCGTGGATGGTGAACGACTTGGTGATAAGCAAACACTGTCGCAGCTTATTCGCCACGCTACAGCTATTCATTCGCGAGCTTTGGAAACATCCCCGCTGCGTCTCTCAGATTTCAGTATAGAGGAGCGCATGTCCTGGGCAGCTGGACGGGAAACCAAACGCGAAGAGGACGCAATCTACTCTCTACTTGGCCTCTTCGACGTACACATGCCACCTATCTACGGAGAGGGCAAATCAAATGCGTTCGATCGCCTCGAACTGGAGATTGAGCGAAAGCTAGCACTTGATAGCTCACGCAAAAGAAGCGCCGAGGAAGCTTTTGAAACGACACTTCCCGGCCCAGAAGGGAGCAATGCAAAGCAGAAACAATCTGCCCGAGACAGGACGCAGTAGTATTCATTGGCAATGCAGGACCGTTGGGCTGAGGCAATCTCCAGGAACATGGGAACACCCAGGGGCTATGCAAACGTTGCTGTGCTGCTGTTGAAATGGACGGATGAATTGGACGAGTTGCGAACCAGCGACGAAGTAAGTAGTTTCAGATTCAAGTCAGATTCCAGTACGGTCTGGAGGTTTCGCATGTGTTCTGATCTTTGAAAGAGACTAAAGAGCATGGTCTAACTTGATCTCAGGTAGAGGAGCTCGCACGTGTCTTCCGGGAGCAATTTAACTTCAAGACTGACGTTGTTGAGCTCAGCCACCGAAGCAAACCACAACATCAGATGGATCGAGTTTTAACCACATTCGTCGAGACGCACGATCATCCTAATACCTTGTTAATCGTGTTCTATAATGGCCATGCTATCCACTATGAGGATACCGATCGACTGGAGTTTCTATCGTCCTTGGAACCATCAACAGCTCGTGGCACCTCTAGTGGTGGTCAGATAAACTGGTACAAGACACAAGACTTTCTTTGTTCGAACGAAATTGACGGAGATGTTCTTGCGATACTGGACACAACGTATGTGGGTAATGGCCATATACGTCATGTGTCCAACGACGAAAGCGACTCAAACTACGGGGATCAGCGGACTGGCAGGCGTTTTCAGTTGATGAACAGCTGTGAGCAGGTAGCTCCTGGCTACGACTCGTTCACGCGCGTATGGATTGACGGTCTGCGCGAGCTTCACGACCAGAACGGGAACTCCGCTTTTTCGACTCAGGACCTTCATCAGTGCATTGAGATGAATCCAGTACGATCAGGCATAAGCTCTAAGATGTGGTCTTTGCTACCGAACAAGCGCCATATTCTTCTGACACCGATAGGGCAATCGGAACATGATGCGAGCAAATCCCAGCAGTATCGTAGGCGCCCTGGACGAGGATACTTGAAGCTCGGCCTTGAACTGGAGGATTCGTCTTTGAATCGAGACCAGATAGATCGTCTTGCAAGTATCCTGTCGTCATCGTTGGATGACAAGTCTATAGGCCTACGCGGCATTGATTGGCTTGGGCTAGAGCATTGTGACTCTCAAATTCAGACTCTCTCTCCTTGAAAGTGAGAGATATTGCACAATAGGATCATAGTGGCAAAGAGTAAGGCAGAAAGCTTATTTGTTGCTCATTAAGCTTTTTTGTAGTAGCATAGTCGGGGTCCAGCAAATGTGAGTGTGTAGGCAGCATGAGCTCAACGCCAATCGGCTACTGTCCTTCTACACCATGCGGTTCTACCTTAGTGAGTAAAAAACTTTACATGCGTATAGTAATCACACAGATGCACGCAGTCGTACGAACGTTGAGTGTTATTGAATGATCGTCCATCTCAGTCTACGGCAGCGGAGACTCATCCGACAAGCGAGATGCGCCCGCAGCTTGCTTTCCGAATTCCGAAGAACGATGGACTGGGTGCAAGGCGTGAAGCTAGCTAGCACACGAGAGCCTTGAGTTTCGGTAGCCGGCCACCAACGTTTGGATACCGGGCTGGAGACTGTGGCCATTCTCCTGGCCTTTTTAGACCGCCTTGCGTCTATGACAATTATATCGTTGTTTATTCCCGGACCATCGACTATGATGTTCGCGTCCAAGCCGGTATCATGCAGCGCCTTCCGCGTCAGTTCGCGCTTCACATGTCCTCTCAGCAATGTGATTCAAGTGGCGCGGTCCACACGTGGCGGATTTGTGCTTGCTCGCAGCATTCTCAAACGCTTTGGAGACTAGAATGGCGACATGCAGATGGCATCAAGAACATAAAGTTCTGGCATACGTGAAATGGTGTGTTAATGCGAGGTGACATGTTGGTTCGGAGGTCTCTGACTATCTAGGTAGTGACCAGTGACTGCAGATCAGGGGACGACGATCGCTGAACTGAAGCTTCGAGACTGCTGAGAAGACGTTGGCTTGTGCTTGAACTGTTCGTTCGGGTCTGCGGGGCGCCTTGCGACGTTTTCGCTTACTTACCTAGGTAGAGGGTGTCAATCGCGAAGATGCCTTGCCATATGTCGATCCAACGGCGAACCCATCTTCGTGCAGGATCTGGGAAGACCCTGGCTGTACATACTCAAGCTATTGAAACGTGAAGGTGCCAGAGGTGCGGTACTGTAGAATGGGAACAGCAATGGACTTGCGTGTCACAACGCAGCCCACGTTACAGCTCAGATACGCACGCTAATCCTGCATCGTTGAGGAGGTTCGGAGATCTGCGTGGCTAGTCAAGACACCACAGTCTATGGCTGGTGTTCGGGTCAGCTCTCATGGAATCATTGCTGCGGTCTCGAACTAGACTAGTGCGCCAAGGACGCGATTTGGCGCTATCGACCCGTTCCGGCTGAGATCACGTTTCACGAGATGCTTCCGAGGTTCCGGCATCTTCTCCCTTCTCAGGCATCCACTTGCTTGCACGCCCGCTACATGGCAAAGTCATGACGCATTTCTACGAAACTTCTTTCATACTGCGCAACAGATCACAAATCAACTGATGCCGCATGGGCGTTCGTCTGGCTGCATCGCTGACGTAGCGCAAACTTTGTAACCGACCCTGTCCGGGCACACCTCAGCTGTAGGATTCCTGCCGCACCCCGCGTTATACCGCTGCCAGCACAATATCTGCACGGGATCACGGTTCCTGAGGCAGTACTCGAGTTTGAAACGGACGTTACCTCACGAATGATCCTTCAGCAAATCTTTCCCACGCGAAAGACATGCTGCATTGCTTGGTATGCCAAAATGGCATATGCATCGCGATGTTGTGTGACGCCTGATCGGTGACAAGACTCAGCAGTACACTCAGCAGGCTTGTGTTAGGCGAGATGATCTCGCACGGTGTTTGCGACGCACAAGAGTGTGGTTGCAGCTGCGAGGCCTTCCGCGCCTGTTGAGAACAATTCAGACACGGTAGACTCGTGGCGTGGCGTGGCGCCTCATCCGTACAACCGGAGTTTCTTTAAACGCGAGGTTCACAACACGGACAAAGGCGGCCCGCCTTACAAGCACTTTACGATGTATATTTCTAATCAGTTATTTCCAGGGCCTGTCCTGAACGGCGGACCAGAGCGCACCAGGTTGGTACGCGGTAAGGCAGCTAAAGATGATAGAGTTTCAAGTCCGATCCGCAGGGATGCTTCCGAACATCAAGGCTCGCCATCTTCTGCTTTAGTGTCGCACTAGGACTACGGGAAGATTACACCACACAAATTAGCCGGTATTTGGTGGCTTTCGTGCATGACGCTACCAACTTCGAATGGTACCCTGTCCAGGTTCTATTCCGTGCTGGTGTACCCCTCAGCATGTGAAGATATCATCTTGACGCGGACGCACAACTTCACCAGTCAGTACCAGGGGCCGAACGATTT